ATGCTCAGGCATGCCGACACTGGCTGGAGATGGAGAATGAGTAAGTGAATTTCTGTTAACTTGTGTGTGTAGTGCACAGGTGTCCCTTTGCTGTGTGCAGGTTCCACTGCCAGTGACGGGTCACCGCTCGTGACCATGCTTGTCCGGTCTAACCCAACCCTCTCCAGACCTGAGGAGCACCTCACGACGTGCTGAGCTGTAGCAGCAGACCCAGTGCTTCTAGTCAGTGCAAGTGGGGCCTTGTATGCCTGTGGGAAATGTTTCCAAAGCTGCAGGAGGAGTCCGATTTCTAATTTGATGGAAGTGTTGCAGAGGGGCCAGAGCTGGAGGTGACCTGCCTCTGTGCAGGCATGAGGAAGCAGAGTGAGGAAAGCCTTGGTGTCCCCAGGGCTTCCCAAAGCCCAGGGTGAATGAGGATCAGGACATGCATGTCCAGATGAGGCATCCTGAATGGTCTAATTCCAGCTTCCCGTCCTGCGGCCGTGAGGATTCAGATAAGCCATTGAGATTTATGATCTGTCCATTCAAAGGCTTTGACGCAGATGAGACAGTTTTTGAGAACATCCAGTCAGTACTGAATATATCCAAAGAAAAAAGGAAAGCCTCTGCTTCCCCGGTGTGTATTACAGATAGTGATCATCAGAACCAGAGGGGGAAATTAGTTTCCCCCCTACTCGCTTAAAACACAGAAATTTTTTGAGTTGATGGTGATAGTCGAGTGTTTTTGTTGTTGTTTTGCCCTTTTTTTTTTTTTTTTTTTTTTTTTTTCTTGGTGTGTTGAAGGGAAAGGTTCAGACAGCTGGAAGAAATAAGGGCTTTTCTTTTGTTGTTGTTTTTTTTTTTTTTTTTTTTTTTTTTTGTTCCCTCCTCCTCCTCTCAAAGAATTAATAAAACTATAGTAACAGTGGATCAGTGGATTTTGGCTTGTGTAGGGATTATCCTTTGGATCTCTTCTAGTGCAGGATGTAATACAGCTAAGATCGTGGTCTATGACTGGATGGCAATTTACTGCTGTGATAAAAATACTGTTGCAAGGAGTATATTGTGGAGATATGGACAGTGGATACTTACTTAATTGGTGATTGCTAAGGAAGGTGTTTACATACCAGTTTACCTAGGAAGGGAAATTATGTGCATAGAGGTTGCTAAAATAAAATATCCCTTAATGCAATTTCATGTAGAACTTGACACATTTTTTTTGTGGAAGCATTAGTGAGAATCTACAAAGAGTATGTGATAATAGATTTAATTAATTTAAATTATTACTTCTCTAATGCACATATTAACAGGGCAGGAAGAAACTTCGATTGTGGTTCCGATTTCATCCCATCTTCTTAATTGTATGTGCAGTAACACCACACCTTGACATTTGCAAAGTGACATCAGATCACCCTGAGTTTGAAATGTGATTCCCAGCCAACAATTACATAAAATTAAACTGCATAAGTTTAAAAGTTGCATTTGAAATTTGACAGAGGATAACCACTACATCAAGAGATAAATAATGAAGAACATCATTAGTGCTTTCCAGTATATTGAAAAAAATAAATTGGAATATAAAGAATAATGTATTCATCACTGTGTAGTCGTACTTTCTTGTTTGTTGACCATGTTTGTAGGTGCTATTTTGAGCATTTCCATCAGCTGCATAGTAGCAGACTTAACAAAGAGGTAAACTATAAATCACTCTGGGTGTTAGAGCTGACAGCTGTAAATAAATACAGCTGACAGATCAAATAGCTGTTCATTGACAGTATGTGGTCTAAATGTGTTAACGAATGTGTGGACTCAGCAGTTTGGGATTAGTTTAGCAAATAAATCACAAAGTAGTGCTGTGATCCAGCAAAAAAGCACAATGCCTGTGTATCCCCAGTATGCATTGTTGTTAATATTGGAACAGGCCAGTGTAGTGCTATGTGAAAATAGAATTTTGCCTCTGATTACAGGATCCTGTCTCAAAGTGAGAGAGCATCATTCATCTTGCCCAGATCTGCCCTTAGTGAGATGTCAAGGAATGCAAGCAAATTTTGAGTGCTTGGTGAGTAAATATGATTTATATGCTTGGCAGAATCAGAGGATTTTTAACAGAAGGTAGTAATTTTACATTATTGGGTTATAATAATGATACAGCATTACTGAGTAACACATCAAACTTGAGATATATGTGAAATTTTCAATGTTTTGATTTACTGTGTTTAGCAAGAATGCCTAGAAATGAAAGAAAAATTGCCAGCAGACAATGAGAAAGATCCTGGGCAGATGAAGAGATTGCAGCTCTGAAGCAGCAATACTTTGGATGTTGCAGATAAAACATCTGTTAGAACAAGTGAATGTTCTAATAATTTGTCTTATTTGGTGCTTTTATAGATATCCTACAATAACATATATGCAATAATCAGCTATAAAGAAACAATTGAGACATATTTTGAATTGGTAATGTTGACTAGGATAGTTCTAAAGTCATTGCATACAAATCTGTTTTTTTTTTTAGAAAGGTTGTATGTTAGCACAATTGACTAAGACATTCTTTTCTAGTCTTATTTTTCCTTGCCCCTTTATTGGACTTAGGTCTTGTAGTTTGACTGTATTATAGGAACTTCCGATGCCTATAACTGATACAGTCTTTGGGTAATAAAGGCAGCTCTGATTCCCTCTAAAATTTGTTGTGGACTGGGGTGCTTTTTGGTTCTTCTGTCTACTTGCTGTCCAGTGACCTGCTCTACTAAATCTGTTGAATCTTAGTGAGAGAATAACAAGATTTTTATTTTGCCTGTAGCTTCCCTTGCCTAGGTCCAGGATGCAAAGGCTGAGACACTGAGAGGAGATAGAGGTGTGAGTGTAGAAGCAGCTGGAAAAATCTTATTTTATGTGCATTTGCTGCTTAATGTAATATGATTAGTCAAGGTCAGGGCACTTAATTGTCAGTGAAATGGAGAACAGGTTTGTTTGTTACTTACATGTGAACTAGTCCAAGACCCTTCTGTCATCAGTCTGGTTCCATTGCCAAGAACATGCTTTATTTCTTGTGAATATCCTATGACATCCATCTTAYGCTATGAACACCTCTACAGGCCAGATCCTCAGCTTGTGTAAATCCCTTCTGTAAGTCACTGAATCTCTAGTGCTTTATGTTTATACTACCTGCTTTATGCCAAGTAGGCATATTTCTTAATGTTGAGAAGTATCTTATTAATCACATTCAAGGTTATATTTTAGCATTTTGTATTACTATTATTTTTGCACAATAAGAAAAAATGTGATGACCTTATGAAATTCTCATGTTTGTACAAACTGCCAAGTGTAAAAATAAGTAAATGAAGCAGTCTGAAATTGGGACAAAAATTTGGTTTTCAGCCTTCAGCTGCTAAGAATTTTGAGTTCATCTATATATGTTTGTTTAAAAGRAATTTGATAGTTTTTGGCTGATACTCCTTTACTCTTCTCCCAAMGAGATGTCTGCAGAGAACGGATAAAATAAAGAGGTGGATCATTATAGAATTCATAGTGGTACTGCTGCCTCGGATATTTTAGGTGATGGCTCTCTAGGAACTTCTTTTCACAATGTATAAAGCAGAAATGTAATTTATGTAAGCACTTGTGCTTCAATGCTGAACACATTTGAAGCCAACAGGAATTTCTCAATTGCTGTTATTTCAGACCTGCAAAATAGTGGTTATGAGAGAGAAGAGGGCCCAGAATATAGAATCATTAACTGTGTGAACTCTGTGATTTTGTAGAGATTCTTTTCCCCAGCAACAGCTGGTTATCTCATAAACGGGTCAGCCCTTTTTTGATGCTTTTCTCTGTAACTACTGGTATTTGCAGAGATTTATGAGAGGAAAAAATGCAGGTCCTTTTAAGCATTTGGAAAGAAGGAAGAAACAGACTGAAACTGCAGCAGTTTTAAAGCATTATTTCCTTTACTCAGGTATTTCGTATCGGATTCCACTTCCAAAAGTGTGGCTGGCACTAGAAATCGTTTCCAGTCCTGTACTGATTTTAAAGTCAAAACTCCCTTAGTACTAAAGAAAAGGCAAACAGTTGCAGTTTAGAGCACTTACTAGTGCATACATATATACTCCTGTACTCCATCATGTATTAGAGCATCTTTTCTAATGACTGAATTATTGTTTGTTGATTTAAAATGAATGAATATATACTTTCTGTGACGGACATTTTAAAATTAAACAGACACTGCCTGTAAATACTTAGTAGTGTATGCTAATGCATAGCAATATATATTTCTATAAATTCTTCTGCATTTTTGTTCTCCCAGTTGAGAAACCTAGCAGTAGTTAAGCACATGCGAATCCGTTTTGCTTCTCATCTGTTTTTTTAAAGTCTCACCGTGGTCTAAAACCTTAAGCCTATGCAGGTTTTCTTTTAAATTTGTTTTCTGTGGAAAAGCTTACAGCTCTTACTTTCTTGTTATCTTAATTAATGTAATGATTTGGTTAACGTGATGAGTTTGAAGCTTCATTAGGCTTGTTTAGAAATTATTTCTAAAGCAAAACCTATGAATACTTTTCATTTAAAAGTCAATGAGATTTTTATTCTCATCTACCTCTCCTCTATAGCTGAATCCTTAGACTTGGAGTGAGGGCTGAGTGTTTGAGAACTTGACTTGATCAAGCTATATTTTTGTAGGCGGAGCTACCACTGATTTCAATAAGATGAGCCATATGAAGCTCTGGTAAGATCAAGATCCTTGGGAGATTAACACTCTTAGCTTAAGAATTCACACATTTCAGCTTAGTCATCAGAAAAATAGACACGTGCTACAGCATATGATTAACTTTTATTGGATATTTTTAAGGGAAGTGTCTGCTGAATTAGAGATTAGAACGTTGTAAATGGTCCACACAATGAAAAAAAATCATTAAGCAGTATTTCAATATGTTCCTAAAGCAATAAGCAGGCAACAGACACTGTCAAATAAATAAATAAGGGACTTCTGTTTTTCTAAGTTTTGGAGTATCTCTTGCAGATTCATCCCAGTTCTGCCTTGATTGTTACTTTTGCACCTCTAAGACTGCACCAGTTCCTGGAATTCTGAAAAGAAAAAAGAAAGGTAGAAATAGTAATTTTCTATTGGAAATAAAAGATTAGTGTTTTCTTCACGAGGTTTAGAATAGGAATGAACTGAAAGCAAATGGCTGACAGGTGAGCAAAGGGGAAGAAACATAAGACATTGCTCTAAACAATAGATGGAAAAGTCATGCTTTGCTAACATTTGTAAGATAGTTTTATAAATTTATAAAGCCTATGGTGGTTTTAGCATACTGTGCTTAACTTGGGCAAAAATAATGGTAAGGAATTTGTGAAAGAAGAAAATTAGCACTTTTGTAAAAGGATTGACTCTGTGTTTTATCAGCTGTTTATAGTGCTTTAGCAGTTGAGAAGTGTTGATTTAGAGCATAATCAAAAGCCAAAAATGTTTTGAGTTTCAAGTAGTTCAAGTGTGACATTCAAACACTGTTATACATGAGAATATTCCATTTTAGAAGATCTTCTACTACTTTGGACTGAGTTACAGTATCTACTCAGCCACATCCCTGGAGAATTATATTGGGATATGCGTAGCTCCATACATCATGTGTATTTATCCTGAGACATTTCCTAAGGAACTGAATTTAATACTTTCCAAAAAACCGTAAGAGTTCAGTCCCCACCTCACACAGTGAGCTAGGGAATCTGCACAGCAGCACATTCCCTTTACGCCTTTCCCTAAGGCACTTGCATGCTCTTCCCTACAGCTTGCTTCTCATAGAGAAGTTGCCACTGCGTCCAAGACTTTTCTGCATGTGTGCATTCACATTCCGGCTTCCTGCCCAAACAGGGCATGGAAATATGGAATTAGGAAATCGGGAGATTTCTGCTGCACTGAGCAGCCATTGAGTCATCCTGGCATGTTCCTGGAGTTGGTGCAGTAGGATGCATCCTAAAAGAACCACTGCTTCCCATCAGATCCTTTAACCTACTACCAGAGATAACATCCAAACCTTTGCACAAAGCCTCTTGAGGGATCTTAGGCCCAGGATAATGTACTTTATCATTCGCTTTTGTATTACACATAATAGAAAACATATTACATATATTGAAATACGTACAGCTCAAACCTTGCATGTTGGGTATGATTTCACTGCTTCTAGTGGAATTTCTGTTGGGAGATACTGTTGTAAATCAGATGATGTGAGTGACAATCCTACCTTACAGGGCTTTTTGTTTTGTTCTGGGTTTTATACTTGTATATTGCTAGTGCTGCATTATACAAGAAAGTGGAAGGAGAAACAATCTATGGTTACTTTGTGTTTATAATTAGTCTATTTATAAATCAGTTAATACCTTCAGCCCCAATTTTACCATCCCCATCATGATCTGCAGCTGCCAGGAGGGTCTTAGTTTCTGAAGTAGTCAACACCCTGGCTCCACATTCAAACCTCTGAAGAAAATACCTAGAAGGAAGCACCTTTGGTTATGATTTTCACAAAATAATATGCTTTTAGGCTGGCTGCTTAATCAAATGGTTCTCCATAAAGAATTATTTACTCCAGTAGCCAAGTCCTCCAAAGGYTGCTTTGTTTGACAAACTAAATCTTTATTATATATCTACATTGTAAGTATATTTGATTCTGCCCACTATTAAAATGTAGCTCCATGAGTATATTTTTGCTGTACTGGCCATTAAGACAGTTATTTAATAATTTAATTTGTATCAATTATTAAATATTTTTTATTATATAATACACCATTTTACACCATTCAGAGTCTACTGAAGGTTTSATCATGCAATTAGCATAATCTCTGCTCTCCTTTACAATACAGTTTTGAAAATAAAAGTCTTAATTTATAACAGTCACTTAATACTAGTTAAGGCAATACAGAAAATCCTTACTTGAGCTCATCTTCCTCAATAAAGCCGCTTTGATCATTGTCGAGGATCCGGAAGATCTCCTTGAGTTGACTGCTACTCTTTTTAGACATCCCACTGATCTGAAAGAATTTTTTGGGACTAAAGGAATCTGGAGCTGAAAATAAATTAATAAATAAATTAACCCCAGACCACTGAGTTCACTGTTCCTGAGTGGTCTGAGGATATTACTTTATTATATTTTAATTGTTCTAAATATGTAAGGTAAGCAAAAGACTGTCAAAGAATGAATTTTGTCATGCTATGCCATGCCTTCCTAAGCATCAGAAACATCATGTGGTTGTAAGTTACAAACTCAAACTACTGGCAATATGAAATAGTCATGAACAAATACACTAAAGTAACTAAGTAAAGAGACAACACAATTTGGTTTCTGGTAGGCACCTGTTCAGTACTCCTTTGGGGCTGCATTAAACTTGCCACATGTCTCAAAATAACAGATGGTTATAGTTTGTTCCTCACCTTGGCAGTCCCGCAGAGCAGCAGCAATATCAGAAGGGCTTAGAATATCCGTGATGCTCATTTTAAATCTGTTCCAAAGAAGATATGTCAAACAAACTCATGAAATGCAAATCGTCTTACATTATTTTTTCTCAAAGGTTTGACAAATACTGTAGTAACTGGCTAGCAAGACTCCTTAAAGTAGACAAATCCAGTTACTTAAATTGACATTGCTGCTGTTTCTAAACAAATTGTAATACCTAGCACACTATTTCCTTAAAAAGAGCAGTGCTGAAATAACTTCTTAATGAGTTTATGTAGATGATGTTGTGAGTTGATGACCTATTTTTTGTCTTATTACCTGCTTCCTATTTAAGAAGAGCAGATTTTTTAGACTCTATRCAGCAGTTAATCCAGTCATTTACTGGAATGCATGGCATTTGACAATACAAGAAAACAAGATACGCAGTGGGAAAAAGAAAGTCAAGAAGATTTGCTTTTGTTTTCTCCCCCAACAAYTCCGAAGAATAAAAGAAAACTGATACTTATCTACATAAGGTCCATCCATATGTAATTCCAGCAGTTAAAATCTTAGAACAATGGTTATTGTACTTACTACTGGTACAGCCCTGCATAGTAATTTCATCTAATTAATCTCTGGTCAGCTGCTCACCTTTGTAGTTTTCTCAGCTAGGTAAAGGAAAAATAGCTGAGGAGATACCAGGCAAAATAGTAATGTTGACTACGGCTTGCCACTCTGGCTTATAAAGGATTCAAAAGGTGACAATAACCACTACTTAGGTTACTCTTTCATGGATCAAATGTTTGATTTGAGACCTAGCTCAAATTTCTTCCTTAACTCATTAAACTTTTCTTTCTATTTAGATCCTAAGATAATATGGGCAAGAACAACATTTTTTTAATAAATCCACTTTCAGCCTAATTACTTAATGTTTTGCCATCAAAACATATGCATTGAAACTCTAAAGGTTTTTAGTTAACTAACTCCTGAACTTAAAAGTTACATGTTAGAAGCAGTCAAATCCTTGTGAAAAGAGACTAATTTGGTTTCTCAAAGCCTGCTGGTCATTTGGGGTGTGTAGAGAAGTTGGAGACGAAAGATCTAAGGTGACAATCTGTCAAAGATAAGTTCTAATAGATAGTTTGTCACCAAGAGAGGACAGGCTGGCATCCTATGGGGTGATCTTTCTGCAGTAAGATTCGTTTTGCATTTCCTAACCATTTGCAAAATTGCAGTGCTATCACTGATCAGGGATGGAACAGAAACCAATGCCTTCAGTGACAGTAAAACTTAGAAACTAGGTATAGCTGAGTAAGGTAATCTTGATAACTGTATTGCTTGGAAGATTACATGTACTTGGATGGCATACTACTCAAAATAATATCTATTTTGATTGTTTTGAATTACATGGAATCTATAATAAACTTACTGAAATTATAAGAATAATACTTCGCTAAGGTGGACATTTATTTATATTTGTGTTACAGCACGCATACGCACGATTTCTTTCCTTAGTGTGAAATTAAAATTGCAGTTATGCCTTAGTGGATTTTCTTTTTTTCATGAGGATTGATATTAGAAGGAAACTTAGAATTAAGTTCAAAAGATTTGAGGCTGTCCTTCTGAGAGAAAAATCAATTTTCATCTTCAAGGTGATTCACGTGGACAAGATTCTGGGGTAAAGACCCAAAAAAAGAACTTAAAAACAATGTATATTTGATAGACTATTATATAACAATCTGTTAGGGTATGTAATGTCCTCATAATATGTGAACTGCTTTTAATTAATGGAAATAGTATGGTATGCTGAACAAGGAGTGTTTTTGCAGAAGCAGAACTTAAAAATTATGCAGTGGAACAGAATAGTAAAACATTTAAATTTCTTCTTTTTCTTACGTTKTTATGAGCTAATAGAGTTCAGTACATTTACTCCTGGTTTGCTTAATGACAGTGAGAACAGTATCAGCCATTGCAATTGCTTCATAATACCTGTGTGTCTGAATTAGGATAAAGAATTAAAAGGTGAAATTAGTGTAAAAAAGAGCAGATCTTGTCACATGTCTTCTAATACTCTTTCTGCTTATCCTCTTTGTTCTGGATTACATATTAATATTTTTCAGTATCTAAGATTTGGACAATATTATAATCTCTCAGGGAATGAAGTGCACATATTATGCTTTGTACAGAATCATCCTGAAATTTGCTCACCCTTCTAGGTAGATTTTTACACTTCATTGTGAAGTCTTTCCTTTCTTTGATCATCTCAAGTTCATGTGAAGCATTACAGAAGATTTTCTTACTGGTTCTTGATACTAGTTGCTGCCAAAATATTTTTTTGATTTTTTTCAATCTCTATAATACTACCATTGATGTCACTGAGAACAAAATTTCACTTTTGCCCCCCACCCACTGCTTGGCAAACTGCTTACTTTGTTTAAATATTTGTCATACAACACTATTAAAAACTAATGATCATGAGGAAGTCTAAATCATATGGATTGGAAAGATCAAGGTGGTCATATACAGTTCAAACTCAAAACAGCTTGCAGTTAATTGAAAAGTACTAAAATATATAGACTAAATACTCCAGAACAGTATCCGATTACCTCATAAGCCCTGACTTCTTGAAAACGTGGGGATCAGAATAGTTTTTGCCTGTGGAAATACRTTTAACAGCAGTAAAGGTAATGAGTGTGGTAGTAAAATAATGATCTTAGATGAAAGTTTGCTAATAGCTGCAATGCATTGACTATTAACACTTAAGAAGAATTCTTGTAATGTTTGAAATTCAATACTGACACCAAAAGTGATGCTGATCCWGACTGAAAGATGGTTTACAAAAGCCTAAAAGAGCTGAATTTCAGAATCAAGTTGATGTCACTGTATATTGATACAGGTGAGAAGCTAAGGTTACTTGTATTTATTTATTTATTAATGTCACTTCATCTGAAGCACAGGTTTCCCTTCTCTACAATTAGAATGAAATAATCCAGGATGAGTATATTATATAAACTGATGTTTTAACAGGATAATCTACTTCACAGATAAATTATCTGTTTGTTTGCATTATTTTGGGGGTATGCATTAGCTCAGGTGATTACAGCTGTGAAGTGCAACTACTGTGACCTCTGAAAGAAGACCTGAGTTTTCTAAAAGATCATATGAAGGCAATGTAGTGCTTTAGAGAAAATGTCTAATAAATCAACTAGAAGAACAATGGTTAGGTAACAGGCAGTTTACACAAGGGCAAAATGTGGTGTAGAATATGATTAGTGTGCAGTTTCCAGAAATATTTAGCACTTGCTCCAAGAAAAACTATTTTGAACCTTTCCTTTTTTTTTTTTTTTTAATTTACTAGGGCTGTTTGTAAGTGGACTATAGAAACCATGAAATACAGAATAAATCCTGCAGCACTGAGGGACAGCAGCTAAGCAAAGACAGGTACTTTTGTATTGTGTTAGGAGAGATGTATTGTATGCTTTTTCCTTTCTAAGTCACATCCTTATCCATTCTACATAAATGTGATTTATTTGTCTGAGAAAATGATACCAAAATGGACCAACCCAACTTATTAATAGCATAACTAGTTAAGAGAGATTTTTCTGATTGGAATACTTATTCACTTAAAAAGCTGACCTGAAAGCTGACTTCTAGTAAATCTCTGCTAGCATTTAATATGTTTTATGTTTGTCTTTAAATGCACTAGCAAGTGCTTTCATGACTCAGTAACATTCATCTGATTCTGACCCTACACATAACCTGCCTTCCTAAAGCACAAAGCGCTTAAAAGAGTCTCATAGTACCTGACAGCCTGTGTGGGTGAGACACAGAGAGAATGATAGAAGGAGAGTTTATTCTTGAACACACAGATAGCATTTTGTCCACCGAGCTACTCGATGTTAATGCTGAAAGAAGGAAAGGTCTATAAACCTTTCTACACAAGCCCTTCTTAACTTGCTGGAATGGTCAACAGGAGCTGATACCAGATCTACTTGTCATTAATTTTTTAATGTCCTTGATGGAATGGTAAGTGGTGAAATTGTCTTCAATTTGTTCAGACCTAGCAGGATAATCAGTGTGGAAGTAAGTGTGGTTAAATAAAGGAATTATCTGCTCACTCAGAAATGATCTGAGCTCTCTCTGCCTTTCTGTATTAGCCATTAATGCCAATAAAGTGTTTTGAGGTTTCCAGGTAACCCATACTGCATACTGAAAATATAAAACYTAATATTTGCTGAGGTATATTGTACTTTTTCACAATAGTGATAACTTTCAGCTCTGCAAGTAGAGATTTCCTTTTTTTATTGCTCTTCAGAGATGACACTGAAATTATATGTGTGAATTTTGTCAATGGATAATTTTGTTTCACTGTTCAGGGAAATTCCACAAAATTAACCTGATTAGCCTGATTCATTTATTCATTCAAGTTAATGGAAAGACGTGTTTTAACTAATGTATAAGGCATGGAAATACATTACTGAGTGTTCATAAAAGTCATATAGATTGCTTTCATTTAATGATGGTGATTTCCCCAACGTTATATTGATCCTGATCATTTTCCTGCTTTTCCAAAATGTTTTATTCTAAATGTGTTATGCATCAGCCATAATCACAAGAGCACTGACAGATAATTTTGTGATTTTAAATCTTTAATTATATGAGACAGTTGTTTGATTTTCTTCAASATTAATGCCCAAGAACTAAAAAGAAAAAGGCTGTAGTGTCAGATTAGGTGATGTTAGCAATTAGTTCATTTGTCTAACCTTAGTTTATTGCTACGTGATTGTATTATGATACAGTCTGAATGACATARCCACAATGTTATTTTTCACCAGAACTCTAGCTTAGTCAGTGCACAAGTTGGATGAGGTTCAGTTATCAATCAGCTACTCAAAATTCTTTATTTTCCTCATTCCTTCTCTCTTGTTTGTTACTCTAACCTATCTCTAAGGAGAAAAAAAAAAAAGACTAATTTCTCTTCATTCTAATGTCAATCTCAGATGTTTATATATTTGTTTTTTATAATGCTGTGAGGTGTGAATGTTATGTTATCCTCAGTTTAGAGAAGCAGAAAGGCAAGGGAATATTGATGATACTGGGACAGTATGCCCCACTTTCCTGATACGAAGCACCAGAGACTTGATGATGGAAATGCTCTTAGCTCAGTACCTCCAAAAAACAGCTCCCA